TCCAGGGATTCAAGAACGAGAGTTTGGGAATGTCACCTGTACTTGCGCGCCACCTCCGGAAGGGACACGCCCCTACGGAGCGCCAGCTGGGCCAGGTGCAGCACGGCCATTCCCAAACTCTCGTTCTTGAATCCCTGGAGTTCGGATTCGCTCCGGAAATCCCGCAGCGACGCCACGTCGTGGATGAAGTCGAATTTTCCCTGTGGGAAACGGAAATTCAAGTTGGAATGATGATTAGGGGTTAATTAATTAATTAGGTGGGGGATGGAAATAATAAAATTCAAATTATTGATAGTAATTAATTGTAATTTTCCTTGTGAGAAATAGAAATTAAAGTTGAAATTATAATTAGGAAATAGAAATTAAAGTTGAAATTATGATTAGGAAATAGAAATTAAAATTGAAATGATGATTAGGGGTTAATTAATTAGTTAGGTGGGGGATGGAAATAATAAAATTCAAATTATTGATAGTAATTAATTGTAATTTTCCTTGTGAGAAATAGAAATTAAAGTTGAAATTATAATTAGGAAATAGAAATTAAAATTGAAATTATGATTAGGAAGTAGAAATTAAAACGGAAATGATGATTAGGAATTAATTGAATTAATTGGTTAGGCGGGGATTAGAAATAATAAATGAAAATTCAAATTATTGATAGTAATTAATTGTAATTTTCCTCATGAGAAATAGAAATTAAAGTTGAAATGATGATTAGGAAATAGAAATTAAAGTTGAAATTATGATTAGGAAATAGAAATTAAAATTGAAATGATGATTAGGGGTTATGAAATTATAATTAGGAAATAGAAATTAAAATTGAAATTATGATTAGGAATAGAAATTAAAATTGAAATGATGATTAGGGGTTAATTAATTAATTAGGTGGGGGATAGATATAATAAAATTCAAATTATTGATAGTAATTAATTGTAATTTTCCTTGTGAGAAATAGGAATTAAAGTTGAAATTATAATTAGGAAATAGAAATTAAAGTTGAAATTATGATTAGGAAATAGAAATTAAAGCTGAAATGATGATTAGGGGTTAATTAATTAATTAGGTGGGGGATAGAAATAATAAAATTCAAATTATTGATAGTAATTAATTATTATTTTCTCTGTGGGAAATAGGAATTAGAATTTAAATTATCATTAGGAAATAGAAATTAAAATTGAAATGATGATTAGGAATTAATTAATTAGATGGGGAATAGGAATAATAAAATTCAAATTATTGATAGTAATTAATTATTAAGTTGATCTTAAGTAGCGATAGAGAATTGTGGGGGATCCTGATGGAAATCCCACTGGATCCTGGAAAATCCCATTGGATCCTGGATAATCCCACCGGATCCTGGAAAATCCCATTGGATCCTGAGGAAAATCCCATTGGATCCTGAGGAAAATCCCATTGGATCCTGAGGAAAACAATCCCAAATAATCCCACCGGATCCCAGCGAATCCCACCGGATCCTGGAGAATCCCACTGGATCCTGAGGAAAATCCCATTGGATCCTGGAAAATCCCACCGGATCCTGGAAAATCCCATTGGATCCTGGATAACCCCACCGGATCCCGGCGAATCCCACTGGATCCTGGAAAATCCCATTGGATCCTGGAAAATCCCATTGGATCCTGGATAATCCCACTGAATTGAGGAAAATCTCATTGGATCCTGAGGAAAATCCCACTGGATCCTGGATAATCCTATTGGATCCTGAGGGAAATTCCATTGAATTGAGGAAAATCCCATTGGATCCTGAGGAAAATCCCATTGGATCCTGAGAAATCCCATCGGATCCCGGCGAATCCCACCGGATCCTGGATAATCCCACTGGATCCTGGATAATCCCATTGGATCCTGGATAATCCCATTGGATCCCACCGGATCCCACCGGATCCTGGATAACCCCACCGGATCCCAGCGAATCCCACCGGATCCTGGATAATCCCACTGGATCCCGGATAATCCCACCGGATCCCGGCGAATCCCACCGGATCCCGGATAATCCCACCGGATCCCGGCGAATCCCACCGGATCCCGGCGAATCCCACCGGATCCCAGCGAATCCCACCGGATCCTGGATAACCCCACCGGATCCCAGCGAATCCCACCGGATCCCGGATAATCCCACTGGATCCTGGATAATCCCATTGGATCCTGGAAAATCCCATTGGATCCTGGAAAATCCCACCGGATCCCGGATAATCCCACTGGATCTTGATAATCCCACTGGATCCTGGATAACCCCACCGGATCCCGGCGCAATCGATCCCGACGGTTCCCGCCGGATGATCCCAATCCCCATTTCCCCACCTGCTCGAACAGGTACTGGAAGGAGGCTCCGTCCAGCACGGCCGCTCCCGGCGCCTTCTCCTCGGGCCCATCCCCCGGGCGCGGAACGTTCCGGAACACCGCCGCCTCCCGCCCGTTCAGCCCGTGCCAATTCCGGAAATAAAACCTGCAGTGACGGAGAGCATGCGGAAAAACGGGAATTTCCTTCCCGCCTGGGAATGAGGGGAAGAAGGAACGGGATCATCCACAGCTTTCCCCATTTTTCCCCATTTTATTCCCATTTTATTCCCATTTTTTCCCCATTTTATTCCCATTTTATTCCCATTTTCCCCCCATTTTTTCCCCACTTTTCCCCATTTTTTCCATATTTTATTCCCATTTTTCCCATTTTCCCCCCATTTTTTCCCCATTTTTTCCCCATTTTATTCCCATTTTCCCCCCTATTTTTTCCCATTTCTTCCCCATTTCTTCCCCATTTTTCCCCCATTTTTTCCCCCTTTTTCCCCCATTTTATCCCCATTTTTCCCCATTTTATTCCCATTTTCCCCATTTTTTCCCCATTTTCCCCACATTTTTTTCCCATTTTTCCCCATTTTTTCCCCATTTTTCCCCATTTTTTCCCCATTTTTCCCCCCTTTTTTCCCCATTTTTTTCCCATTTATTCCCATTTTTCCCCCATTTTCCCCCCTATTTTTCCCCATTTTTTCCCCATTTTTTTCCCATTTTCCCCCCTATTTTTCCCCATTTTTCCCCATTTATTCCCATTTATTCCCATTTTCCCCCCTATTTTTTCCCATTTTTTCTCCATTTTATTCCCATTTTTCCCCCATTTTTTTCCCCTTTTTCCCCATTTTTTCCCCATTTTTTCCCCATTTCTTCCCCATTTTTTCCCTATTTTTTCTCCTTTTTTCCCCCAATTTTTTTAGAAATTCCCCCCAATTTTTCCCCATTTTTCCCCCAATTTTTCTCAGGGATTCCCAGATTCCCATTTCAATCCCAAACCTCATCCTGAAGATGAGGCAGACGTCGCTTTCCTCCGCGATGTGGAACTGGTGGTTGGGCGGGAGCCACATCCTCCTCCCGGGCTGGTAGAGCGCGAACAGGCTGCAGCACAGCGGCGAAATTCCTGCCGGGAACGCCGCCAAATCCCCTCATTCCCAAAAAAAAACCGGGAATTCCGGCTCCCCAACCCCACAGGAATCGGATTCCGGGTGGCTTTTATCAGGATCAACCCGTTTTGGTACAAATAAATCGGATTATAATTAATTTTATTCCAAATAAATCAAATTTTAGCCGATTTTATTCACAATAAATTGAATTATAATTGATTTTATTCCCAATAAATTCAATTTCAGCCGATTTTATTCCAAAGAAATCAGAAAAATGGGAATTTCTCTGTCTTGGGAAGGAATCCAGTGGGGATCAGGTGTTCCCTGGGAATTCCCGGTGTTTTCCCTGGGAATTCCCGGTGTTTTCCTTGGGAATTCCCAATGTTTTCCTGGGAATTCCCGCTCTTTTCCTTGGGAATTCCCGCTCTTTTCCCGCTCTTTTCATGGGAATTCCCGCTCTTTTCCCGCTCTTTTCCCTGGGAATTCCCGCTCTTTTCCTTGGGAATTCCCGCTCTTTTTCCCGCTCTGTTCTCTGGGAATTCCCGCCCTTTTCCCTGGGAATTCCCGCTCTTTTCTCTGGGAATTCCCGCTCTCTTCCCGCTCTTTTCCCTGGGAATTCCCGCTCTTTTCCCTGGGAATTCCCGCTCTTTTCCCGCTCATTTCATGGGAATTCCCGCTCTTTTCCCGCTCTTTTCCCTGGGAATTCCCGCTCTTTTCCTTGGGAATTCCCGCTCTTTTCCTTGGGAATTCCCGCTCTTTTCCCTGGGAATTCCCGCTCTTTTCCCTGGGAATTCCCGCTCTTTTCCCGCTCTTTTCCTTGGGAATTCCCGCTCTTTTCCCTGGAAATTCCCGCTCTTTTCCCACTCATTTCCCTGGGAATTCCCATTCTTTTCCCTGGGAATTCCCGCTCTCTTCCCGCTCTTTTCCCTGGGAATTCCCGCTCTTTTCCTTGGGAATTCCCGCTCTTTTCCTGCTCTTTTCCCTGGAAATTCCCGCTCTTTTTCCCGCTGTTTTCCCTGACGTTTTCCCCGGAAATTCCCGGTATTTTCCCAGCTTTTCCCTGGGAATTCCGCCTGTTTTCCCTGGAATAAATCCCCCTCTCTCCTTCCCAATTCCTCCCCTCGCCCCACAGACCCCCTGGAAAATCGGGAATTCCCGTTTTCCTCACCGATCCTCCGGGCCAGGTCGATGCAGATTTCCTCGGCGCTCAGCGATCCTCGGGAATAAATCCGGAATATTTCCCGCTCCTCGTCCCCGCTCCAGTGCAGGAAAACCTTGACCCCGGATCCCGCTGGGAATCCGCAGCCTTCGGCCTCGTCCTTCATCCCTTCCCAAACGGGAAAAAAAACCGGGATATAAATCCGTAAAAATAAAAAAGAATTCCCAAAAAAAATAAAATTTTAAAAATTAAAAATTAAAAAATTAAAAAATTAAAATTTTCCAGGTGTTTTTATCCCGGGGAAAATCGGTTTATTCCCCCCCCAAAAAAAAAATTTGGGATTTTTGGATGGTTCCCAACGGGTTTTATTTGGTTGTTAAGGGTGGGGGTTGTTGGAGGGAATTCCGGGGTTTTTTTTGGGGATAAAAAGGGGTTTTTTTGGGAATAAAAAGGGGGGATTTTTGGGAATTGTTCCCAAAGGGATTTGGAGGAAATTCCGGGGGTTTTTTTTGAGGATAAAAAGGAGAATTTTGGGGATAAAAAGGGGGGATTTTTGGGATCATTCCCAAAGGGATTTGAAGAAAATTCCGGGGGTTTTTTGAGGATAAAAAGGGCGAATTTTGGGAATCATTCCCAAAGGGATTTGGACGCATTTTCAGGAGGATTTGGGGATTTTCAGGAAGGATTTTGGAGCCGGTTTAGGGGGAATTTTTGCCCCATTTCAGGGTAAATTTTTACCCCATTTCAGGGTAAATTTTACCCCATTTCAGGGTAAATTTTTGCCCCATTTCAGGGTGAATTTTGCCCCAT